TGGAAACTCAAGTTAACGACGATAATCAGCCATGACATACAACGCACAAGCCGTTATCCGCCGACTGCCGATCACCCAGTGAACCCGTTGCCGGACACCAATACTACGACCCACTCAGCGACTCACGCCGCACGGACGAAACACGATTGCTGTCTACCGGAGACCGCGGAGAAACACCGATCGGCCGGCCMTGTCAACAATACTATCGCCGAGCATCAACAGTGAGCGTACGGATTGCCTACCGGCCGAGCACCCGGCGTTACGCTTATTCTCTCACCGCTCAGGGTTTAAGCGGTTGTCGAATACGCCGGAACACACGATAYGAGCCGAGTTATCCCGRAGGACAACRCGGTCACCATCAACCAGGTGGGAACGACGATCGACCAGGACAACAGTCCGAAGCCCCGAACCCATCAGATAGATTCCGCGTGGCAACCATCGTCGCGACCGACTCATAAAACGGCTCTTTTCAGAGCCACCACCACCTTATAAGACACTTAATTAAGTTGATCTTTTTCGAACCTGCTTCGCCACCGGAGTACCGCTTATATAAGCTTGTACCGTTGACGGGMGGTTCCCCACCGTTTTGTCAAAACTTAACATACCCGACATTGTAAATAGAGTCCGGCCTGTGCCCGATTAGCCACAAGCATCACCGACTGTGCCAYCTCACTTATCAAGACTGGGTGGTGCAGATCGACGCTTTACTTGCCCCAACATTGTATAAATTATTATTCGATATAGCAATAGATTAATGTGATTACCAATACTCGCAATTTGTTATTTATTTCACGACGCGGAACGTTAGAATACAACGCTCCGTATYAACATTCACAGCGGGATACTACTGGMAAATCTTATACTTTTACCCCACAAAGATGTAAAACAACGAGTGAACATTTCATWTGAATGCCAGCGTATTGTATCAATTGATTTTTACAGTCGTTATATAGTAATAACACGACTAGTGGTATAGTTTGTCGAGGTGACGTCTGTGGTTGTGACTTTGTGAGTGATTGAAAGAATTTGATTTTTAGGGGATGAATGCATTTTAAGTTAAAACGTGTGTAACTTGTTTTTACATTTGATTTTTTTTT